CAAGTTACTTTTCTGCAATTTCCTTCGCACGCGCTATTTATTTCTACCTTAAACTTATATACTGAATTTATATATACACAGGAACGTGTTCTAGTTTCAGTCTCTGTTTTAACTTTATGTAGCCCCCGTGCGGAGAAACTGCGAACTAATACGTACTATAGCACGAACTACAATATAGGAAGATCGTAAATTAAAGAGAATAGCGGCACGATTGATGTCCAACTGAGGCCTCAGGACCATACTTTGTACTCTATTTTGGTATACGTAATCAGAAAAATGACGATTTATCATCACCTTATGAGAACTGTTTATACATTTCACACGGAAAATACGTTACTTAAAGTAAGTAAAAAATTAGAAAAAAATATACAATTAGACGAGTATTATACGCGGTATAATACTGATACGTAATAATACGCTAATGATATTATAATTTTTCCCAGTAATATTGTTAATAAACAACGAGGATAATTACATAAAAATGCAGAGCATCGATAAATTGCGAGAATAATTACACGGAACACCAAGGTTCCGCTAAATCGCGTGAATAATCCTGTGGAACGATGCAGAGCGGGTGTCTGCGGTCAGGTCAGCTTGCGTAGAATGATTTGAACGGGTCGGTAAATATATCCGCGAGCCGGACGAGCGGATGCCTAATCCGAGTCGCGCACTCGGAAGGGAGACTGCCGCTTCGTCAAACGAAGAAACGCGACTCTGCATTCTGCAGAGGCCGTTTACCGGCAGCTTTCGGCCTCGGGCTTAGGCGAGCTTAGCCAGACCTCGCTTATTTGTCGCCCACGTGGCCAATGGAAATAGACGATTCACGGTGTAGAACAACGTTTGCCCACCTTAAATACCTGGAACGCTGATTGAACGGTGTACCATCGGGTACAAGAATACGTGGAAGTTGGAAGAGTGATAAAAAGTTTTATGATGAGGTGGATTCTTGCTGGTTCATAGTTGGCTCAGGTATCCACTGTAATTTGAATACCTAAAAGTTTGTGAAAATTTTATCAGATAGGGAAGAGGTTTAAAAATTTTTCTTTGACAATAATTGGGTGTTTAATGGATATGAAAGTTGGCCATATATAAGGTTATAGAAAGACAGTAATTAATACTAGACCACCTGTAATGTAGACATAACTATGTTTCTGTTTGATTGATATATATTTTATATATATCGTATGAAAGTGGCACGAATAATATCGAACATTATAAATTACAAGAATACTTTACTTTGCTAGTAGATTCACTAGTAGATTACATGAGATGAAAGTTGCAGAGTTACTTGAACTTATAGTTCTTTCACAAAAGATACCACCTATCTTCTGTTAAATTACGATGTTAACACTAGGTTTACGGACATTTATATACCTGTATCTATGGACAAGCGTCGACATTTTGTTTAAAATGTGACTTAAAAGGTAACATAATTATAATATTAAATTACAAATGAAACTACGAGATATATATTTATATAAAATTTCTAATATTTTTAGGAATTTTTATTTAAATACAAACGGTTGCTTTTCCTCGTGAAACTTGATGTACGTCAAAATGACTTGTATAAACCCAGTGTTAATGAACACTAATTACGATCTTCTTATCCATTTTCTTAAGAGAAAGATTTCAAACTTCTATACAGAATTTTATTGCATACAATCTGGTACTCTGATACTATAATCATAAACACACACAAAAATTTATACCCTGATTCTTCACATCTCAGTTCTGAAACTACGAAGACCATAAGCCCAGCATCGAATTCTCGAGTACACGAAAGACCTGCCATAAAAGACCAAAGAAGACGAGAAATCGCGGAAAGTCACGGAAAAAGCGTCTAAAAAACACAGTGAAGGAACAATGGCGGTGAAAAGCGGCTGGTTTTCAGCTTGCACGGTGGACAATGGAGCTATATCTCTCGTGATGGAAATAGTTATTAGACGAGGGACCGCAAGTGATCTTGATTGTCAGATACCAAGACTCCCTCCCCTCCTTGCCCCTCTCTATTCATGCATTATGCAAAGTACCTTCCGCTCATATTATCCACGGTTTGTTCCCATCGTTGTTGATCGCTAGAGAAAGCGTACAAAATCGTTCCGTTCACGAAATAACGTGAAACGGTACGCGTATAGCCAGCAAGATGGGTGTATAGCGTTTTTTCTTCGCTGTAAACACAGCTACACTATTAAGCACGTGATTCTTATGCAAGCATGCTGGCGAGTTTTTACAGTTAAATGAGATGCATTTAAAAATGCCTCGTTGATTTAGTCGAGATCCTATGGTTCCTTCGCATAAAGAACAGTATTGACCTTGGATTATGGGTGGAAATAACTGGCCACCTGGAGGAACTTGCTAGTATTGTGGTATGGCTGTATTGGAGCAGTTGGTGACCTGGGGTTGCTTTTTTCCTTTGAATAAAACATTAAAGTAGGAGGGATAATACAGGTATATAAGGATATTCCGTTGTTCAGTTGTCGAGAAGACTGGCAAAATGAATAATCCCATAAGTTGGGAATTGAAGAATTCGAATTCGAATTGGTATACTCTATGCAGTTTGGTCCGTTTGGGTTTTTTTGCCGTCATTTGGATATATTTATTGAAATTATTTGTTCAATGTATTTGTTAAAAGTAGTCGATATGAATGTGACCACGTGGAATTTGTATAAGTATCGATGGATCACCAGTTTTAGTATCAATTATGTCTTGACGTCCATTCGTTGGTTAATTAATTGCTTCTGATCATTAATGGCTGCTAACTAGTGGAGATCCTAATAAAGTTTTATTAACAAGAAAGTCCAACCTTCGAAGAAATAGGGTAACTCAACAGTAAGAGACAACACGCAAGGACACCAAAAGGAGAAATTGTAACAATAACGAAAAAAGTACAAGTACTCTGAGAAATTCCTGACAATAGAAAAAGTATTGTGCGAACAAACCAGAAAAAGAAACAGTAACAATAAGAAAAGCGGTACAAGGACAGGAAAGAAGAGGTTTGTAATACCAGAAAAAACTGTGCAAGAACATAATTGCAATAGTAAAAAGAGCACAGAGATACCAGAGAATACGCAGTATACAGAGAGTACAGTTTGTTATCACTAAAAATATCGACCTATAACGTGTAAATACATAAATACAGTGTACACAGACAATAACGATTTGGCTGTTAAAAATACGTTTAATCGCCATTATAAAACCAGTGATGTTAGATAGCCCACGACTTTTGGATAGTACTGTATACACTCTTGAGTTACTTTCGCGACGCATCCTTTCTGACTACAAATAATCCAAGAAAGTCGAGGACACCTTAAGCACCTTTCAATAGAACATTCCTATGTTCGATCCTAGTCAACGTTGGATAAGTAATTGGGCATTGTTTTTCGAACAATGTTTCTTAGCGTATAATATCACATGGTAAAAATGAGATCACTAGCATTGTGGATAGGAATCAAATATTCTACCCTAGACTGGGATAATGGCGTCCGTGAATAGAATCGAAAGCTGACGAAATGTGTTTAAAGTATTTACGAGTGGTCTGGGAACAATTGGCTTTCTGATGAATAGAATCAAACCTCGTGGATTAATATGTATGATCGATTTCTTTTCTTCAGTAGTTCAAAGATGGAGGGGAATCGTTTGCACATAAAGCTGCTACTCCCATATCGGATAGAAACGGTAACCAAGGAAATGATTATTTATAATATTATTGAGGAATATCAGATTTAACCATTTACTTGCAGTCACTAGAATTTGGACATTACATTTATTAACATCTCCATCGACCCAGCTACAGATTCGTCTCAAACGATTCCATAAACACCCTCAAACCTCTTCTATCATTTTAATTCCACACAATCCTAAAACCCATCAAAGCTTCATCCACAGACCATCAACTGCTCTTCAAACATCTTCACACCTCATTCAACCACTATTGCTCTATTTGCTTTCAAACAATCCACAAAGCTCACCTAAAATCAAGATAGACATTTATCAAAATCTTTACCAAAGTCAGAAAACCTTCGACCTACCTTCAAACATAACCTAATCCAACTTATTCCATTTCATCTCGACTGTTCAAATTCGAAGGACCTGATTGGGGGTACTGTACCAGGATCGTATCAACGTTTTCACAGACGTTTCCTTCATTGAGAGTCCTCGTGGCTTAACGAGAGCCAGCTCGATCGAGGGTCACCGTGTCAACGCGGTTTCCGACGCGTGCACGCACTCGGGAGCACAGCCCACGCGTGCAATTCACGACGGACGCTCT